ATGGATGCTCTTTCTTTCGTCGCCCATATTCATAGGTGTCCTTTTAGGTCATGGTCGGGAATAGACGGGTGCCAGGTTTGCTTCTTACCCGTGGAAGAATCGATTCCAAAGAAATGCCGCGGCTCTCGCTTCAAAGCTTGTGAGGCGAACCCCCGGTTCCTGCGGCTGCTGGGCCCCTGCGAGGAACCGCTGAGCCCGGGCTGCGGGGACCCGGTGCGCATGGCGCAGCGACGGGGCATCCGAGACGTGCACGAGATGGAAGGCGCCGCCTGGGAGAAGCGGTGGCTCCTTTAGTTTGAGGTAATTACCGAGTGCACTTGTTGAATGGTTCTTATAGGAAGGCCACAAGGAGGAAACCATTTGTTTGGGCGGGTTTCAAGGATGCAAGAAGGGACACCACCGTTTTGCGGGTCCGATATGCTAAGACACACCAAATGAGCAGCGGTTTTCAATCAAATGAAAGGGTTTATACAAAAAGGGAACTGCGTGTACTTTGCGGAGGCAATCCTGGTTGGGGGCGTAGGCTCGCGTAGGCTTCAGCGCGTAGGCTGTTGTGTCACCCCTCGCGTAGGCTTTTCGCGTAGGCGTTTGTTGTCATGACTCAGTGCTAATTGCCACGTATAAATGAATTTGTTTCTTTTGCCTTCCTTCTGTTTGTTCTGCAGTCTTCGCGTCGGCTCCGCGTATGCCCCGCGTAGGCATTCGCGTAGGCTTTCAAGGCATTTTGGGCACGTAGACCTCTTCTAGCAGCCAGATCCTTGGATGACAGATGTGGGATTCTCACTTGTACTGCATTTCTGATCTTAGAGCCGGAGCTGCCAAAACTGCACTTGTACTGAAAAGTTGTGATTTTTTAGCTGGAGCTGCCACAGTGCACTTCGACACTTGAACTCAACATTTGCCCGCGTAGGCATCCGCGTAGGCACCTGGAAGCTGACTTGTGCTCGCGTAGGCACCCCTCGCAGGCCGCGTAGGCTTGCGTAGCCCTTCGCGTAGGCGCGCAAGTAGTGTATAGGCCCCGAACCACCAACAAAAACACTGCTCAAATGGGGTTTCCGTGGAGCAGTCATTCTTTCTGAAGGTCCGGGAAGCAAGACATCATGAGAGCAGTGAGCAGTGGCTAAGTGTTCAAGCGCGCCGGCTGTATGATCGTATGTTTAATCGTTGCTTTGTCACACAGCTTCCCACTTGTCCACGCTTCATTCTTTCAGCTGCCCGGACCAAGATGTCGCCCTTCATGTTGGGTGAGTAGGCTCGGGCACACAGGACGTCCAAGACGTGCACCTGGCTTGAAAGTTTGAAAGACACCCGGTGCTTAACGGTTCACTGCTTTAGAATTTGTATTGAGTGTGGTTGCTAGTTAGTGAGCCTTTTTTGCGGGGAAATGAAGCATTTGACAGCCTGAGAATGTCAAGCCATCTGACCAAGACCTGGATGTGAAGCAAGTTGCAGCAATTTGTTCCTACAAAATGCAAGGCATCTAGGTACTGAAGGACATCATTCTGTGGGAAACATGGGGACCAGTGTTTCCTTTCCACCCTCCCAACACACCTTTTGAGCGTATCTCAACCTCCAGGAGTGGTGAGCCACCTGGAGCGCCTCCTGGAGGCTTCAGCCGGCTGAAGCACGGGCTTTGCTGTGGAGGGTGGCGTGCAGAAAGTGACCTCAACCCCATGTCGAGGGTTACGCTAGTTTGAGGTACCTTGACTTTGAATGGGCGTTTCTTGTTTGCAGTGAGTGCTGTGGAAAAGCATAAGCAGATATGGTGAGTAGGGCGCGGTTTTTTGCAATGCTATGCCATTCGGGGCCCACCACGTGTGCATTGCAGACTCTGCAGCTTTTGTGTGCCAGTTCCGGCCAGCATGCTTGTGGCATTCACAAAAAAGAGAGCCACTGTCACAGGATTTGAAGACGTTTGGGAGGTTAAGGACAACTGTGTGCTCAGGACCACGAAGAGTCCACATGAAACATTGCCTGCATTCTCAGTCTTTTTCTCACGTGCCAGGTCTCCCACGCCCTGGCGTTCAAGCCGGTGCCATCGCAAATCCGGGTCTCGGCCACCATACTGCTGGCTGCGCAACGCTTTAAAAAGCTCCTGAAACAGAGGAGGGCTCGAAAGTAATTCGACATGAAGTGCCTGGCTAGTCAGTCGTGATGCTGCAACAAACGCCCCAAACAAGGAAAGCAGTGCCAAAGACATGCTGAACCTTGCGGAATGTAAATGAGACATGCTGTAAGCTCCAGAAAGCAACCTCCCCAGCCTGCCTGACTAGCTCAACGCGGTTTGATGCTTGGTTTCCAGTAGCTGTTACCAGGTTCAAACCTTTAGGCTTGAGCGATCGCCAAAGGCGTGCCTTCATGCAGGTGCACGGTGCTTGTGCTTGGCCTTGAGCTTTCAGGAGCGCAAGTGAAGGAATTTAGTCAGACGCCATAGCATCACTGAAGATGTTCTAGTCAAACAAGCTGACTTGTGAAACCATAGCTTCAAGGCCTAAGACCACGAGAAGAGTGGCAGGCAAAATGCCTGCTTCTTGAGCCACGAGGAAAATCTGTGTGTGTGTGGGCGCATGTGGTGTCCAGTGGACGGGTGGGCGTCCGCAGCAGGACATAGACATGCAAATATATGTGTGTATCTATATTGTGCAGCAAGCTTCCATACTTTGCGCGCCCCTTCAACTTTTTTGCTCGTTGCCAGGATCGAATGCTGGCGTACCGCCACAGCGAGACTCGGCGTGCCGGGAACGATTGATGGACACGATTCTGACACACAAGTGCTTTCATGACGGCCGCCCAGTGAAGAGAGCACAGGTGAGTGTTGCAGTGGGACTTCCAGCATGGCACTCCCCCCAAAGAAAATCGGCAAGTTTTGGGCGGCCCACTCGAGGACCGAGAAAGTAGGCCCAGTTTCCGCTTGCTATTTGGAAAGCAACCGTGCAGAATTGCGCATGAGTTTTGGGAGAGGTCGCGGGCTCCTGGTTTGCTTCCACCATGGTTTTGGATTCTTCCTGGTTCCGAGTGCCAAGCCTCACTTGGATCGATTTGCAGCTGGGTGATTCTTGTGGAACGGGGTGTTTGATCAAGTCATATCAGGTCCATGGCGTGCTCAAGTCTTGGGATTTTGGCTAAAACTGCATGTCACCCTGGGAGTTCTTTCCCAGGACCCCGCCGGACGATTCCTCCGCAACCTCTCCCCTGGCCCATGCTCAAACGAAGCGAGCCTCAGGAAGTGCAGCTTCCTCGGGACGCGGTCTTTTGGACGGTCTCCGAGGTGGGACCGCTCGCACCCGAAACCCGGGTGCCAGTGCACATGCCTTTGTCGTGCTGGGATGTGCTGGGCATGTCTTGCTAGGCAAATATTAACAGTTAGGCTTATGTTATGTGATTTTGATTCAGAAGGCAGTTGTTTGTGGGCTATTGTGTGCTCTTGTGTGCGGAGATGCAATGATGTCCCTCTGGACTAGGTTTCTTTTGCACGTTTCCCTCCATGCAGTTTGTTTGCCAGTTTGAGCTTGCAATGCTGACACCAGTTCCAGCTCCAAAAGCTGCCTGCTTTCATAGCATCCAAGTCCCCAACCCCCCTTCCTCTGCTTCCAGAAGATTGGCGGACTGCCGTTTCGAGGCATGACATGCAACTTGGCCCCAGCTGCCAGAGGTGGACATCTACCTGGGCAGCCTGGGCTTCATCCGGCCGGGCCGGGAGTCCGCGCTGATGCGGAGCTCCAAGAGGCCATCGAACCACCCCTCGTTGATCTGCGTTCTCAGGGGCTACAACTTACAGGGTGGTTTTCTTGTGCGTGGAATGGCATCGCTCGGCTGGGCTCATGTCTTTGTATTGGACTCTGTGAGTGCAATCTTGAGGGCGTGGCTGTTGCCGAAGTCTTGGGGTGCTGGATCTCAATTTGTGATGGGTATGGGCAATATGGCGTGCAGCGGATAAGCTTTCACCTGGGCGCAGGCTAGTGCGAGCGGTGCGCGGCGGGTTCCAGCCATTGGAGTATCGTTGGGGGCCTCAGGTTGGGCTCTGGGGTTCTCGATGCACATGAAGGTTAGCCTGCCCAAATGATGACTGACAGCCTCAGCACCCCCGATCCGTCAGGTTTCAGTTGCGCGATTTTGCGCCTGTTTGCAGCAATCTTGCCCTTTGCGCTGACAAGGTGTAGACCAGGAGGGCAAGGAGAGTGGCGTCTTCTGCTCCCGCGACATCGCAAAAGGCAGGGACCCCTGCTCATGAGGCCATAGCCTGTGGTACCATTTGAGAAATCTTTGTTTCACGTAGGTCCACTTTCCAAGCTGCCCCAAAAGGATTTGGCGAGTCTTGATTTTCCGCCATGGCGGTTGGATCACATGCACACTGCCCTCCGCACTCATCACGCAACACTTGTGCAATCAATTGTAGCCAGAATTGGCTGCTCATTGACCTTGTCTCTTGGAGACAATTTCTCTGTGGCTTGCAACCCTTGGCCCAGCAAACGAACTCGCGGACCTTGGATCGGATTCCACGCCAGCGCTGCGCCGAGGCGCGCTGGTGGAGCTGTGCCCCTTGCACGAGGTGCCAGCGCGCCTGCGGGACCGGAGCGCGGTGCTGCAGCGCCTCACAGCGCTTTGGCACGGGGAACGATGGGGGACGTCAGGCAGCAGGGAACTGGCCATTACGAGTGGAGGAAGCGAGAAAGGAGGCCCCATGTTTCACAGGTTGAAAGGCTGTTAGTTCTCTACTTGTGATGAGTGAGTGGAAGGAGGTCGAGAGATTGTAGTTTGGTTTTGCTTGATCAACCCCACTGGGCCCATACATGGGCAGCCCACCCCCGGCTCTTGATAGTTTATGGTGGGTGTGGGAACCTGGATCCAGAAGCCTCATGCGGATGAGCTGATGCTGGACAGAAAGAGAGGGAGGGAGATAAAACGTAAAACACAAAGTTGCAGACGAGCGGCGGGAGGCGCGTAGTTGAAGCGAAACATCACCCTTTGAATAGCCCTCTGGACTGAAAGGCTGCATCCAAAGGACAGTTTCTTCAGGTGGCTCCACAGCCCACCTTCCCTTGTTTAGTGTGGCTGCCTCTTCCCGCACATGACAGTCCCTCAAAGCGCTTTCCTTCTTTGTGGCAGTTGGGCTGGGAGCCCACCTCTTGCGCCTTTTTCGAGGTGCCCATGCGCTGCGATCAGAGCCGCTGCGCCATTGTGCTGGGCTTTGGGAAGGTGGGCCCCTCTTCTCCCGTGCTGGGGAGGGGCAGGCGAACATACGAAACGCCACGTGACTGGCTGCCCGCAAGTTGCGCAATCTGCGGTTTTTGGGTATAATTATGACGAGGCTGCTCGGAAGCACTCTTTTTTGTCAGCCAGGCTTGGGCGGATTCCCAAACCGTCAGGGCAACACGAGGGTGTTGTTTGTCGAAGCAAAGGGGGAAAGGGTGTTGTTGTTCTTTTTTGGCCCAGCCCTGGCACAAGGCTAACCCTGGCAGGTGGTTGGTTGGTTGGTTGGTTGGTTGGTTGGTTGGTTGGTTGGTTGGTTGGTTGGTTGGTTGGTTGGTTGGATGGTTCGATGGTTGGTTGGTTGAATGGTTGAATGGTTGGCGCCTCGGTAGGACGAGGTTTGGGACGGGTTCAGGGAGGTTTAGGGTAGGTTTGGGGTAGTCCGTTTAGGGTAGGTTATTTGAACATCCTCAGCATCGTTTTCAACATCCTCAGCATTAGGTTGGATTTAGGGTGGGTTCCAGGTTGGCTCAGCCTTCGCTCCGGGTGGGTCCCAGGCCTATTGAGAGCAAATTTGGGGTTGAGGTAGATGGTTTAGTGCTGGTTTATGGTGGGGCTTCTTGGGGTTGGTCTCGGATGGGTTTAGGGCTGGTTTAGGGGGGTTAAAATTGGCTTCGGCCTTGGTTGTGTTTAAGCCCACTTGGGTGGTTTAAGGTAGGTGTCACCCTACCTTAAACTACCCTAAGCCCACTTAAACACAACCACAACCGAAACCAACAAAAAAACTCAGCCAGGCAAAGGGCTGATCCCTTGCCAGCAAAATCCGTGGGCTGTTCGTCAAGTGCCGCGTGGTTCAAGTGCGCGAGGCACTGTGAGTCTTACAGATTGCTTGCCTTTTGCAAACAGGAAATTGAGAAGGGATTGCAGCAGCAGCAACCTACACCGTATTCAACACTTCCAAGCAACCAGGCCAGCAATTATTGGTGGCTTCCCCCCCCACCAGTCCACAAGCGCGCAAGCACACATACACAGACTCAAACCCAAAGACACGTCGGCAATGGCATTCTTTGGTAAGTTTGCGCGGGCCGCCAAAACCGACATGACCCAGGCTGGCTTTTGAACAACCCCATTTTCAGGACAACGATCTTTGGGACAGGGGCGTAGGGTGAAAACCTGCAGGTTTCGCTCGGTTTCAAGAAGCCATGGCCTGAGCTGGATGTTCCTTTTCCGCGAGAAGGCGGGCAGGGCAGAGGGGAGGGGGAGGCCGGCCTGCAGGACTGCGCTTGGCAGAAGCCCAGCAGCTTGTGTTCCATGTTCACTTTGAAAGTGCCACTATGTGCCACTTCAATGGCTGGGCCCGAGGGACGAAATGCAACAGCTGAGCAGGCTGTTGGCGGACTTGTGGCAATTCTAGAGGCAATTGGCGGACTTGTGGCAATTTTAGAGGCAATCACAAGCTGGTCTTCCCATTTAGGGAGGTACCATAGGTACCGCTCTTCCCGATGCATGAACTTTTGACCACCTTCTTGTTTTGTTTGACTCCTGTCTCAGCCGTCTGGTCCTCAGGTAGGGTTCACTTCAACTTCCGCTTCTCCCAAATCGTAGTTCATTCAGGCTCATCTTAATTTCTCAGGCATCCTGGGTGTTTGCCCCTGTAGTGTTGGCCCCGGATGAATAAACCCCTGGTTGATTAATAGGAGGGTGTCCCCTTTTGGTGGGGATTCATCACTTTTGGGGGGAACACCCCCCTAACAATGGGACGAATTTATTAATCCTGGGTCAACATTAAGGGTCCCAGCAAGCCAGGGTGAGAAGGACGAGGCCCACACCCCGCGTGCCACCACCCCGCGCTCGCGCCGGGAGTTCCTGGCGGTGAAGGCGAGGGTGCTGCAAAGTCAATCCTTAGACGATGGTAGCTGGGATGGGAAGCTGCGAGTCATCCGTATCACCATCATGGTGAGAGCTTAGAATTGTGTTGAGGGATTCGCAGTGGCAGGCTTCAGCAGATTTGCCGTGAAAATGTTCCTGTGAAGCGGATGCCTGCACCACGCTTTGAGCCGGCATGTTGGCAGGGCCCTGTTTCGGCCGCCTCCTCCAAAAGTAGAATCATGAGGTTATTCTCTGGCTGTGAGTGAGCTGTATCTTTCTTCAGCAGCCAAACTTGGCTCTGACCAGATGCCTGTGGACCCCTAAGAGAAATCCTGAAGGATGCCTAAACAAGCCCATCATGAGTACTGATTTGCCTCATTGTTTGATGTCCTGCGGACGTTTTGTCAGGGCGGCTCCAAGTGGAGCTATTCTGTGTGTGTGTGCGTTGAAATAAACATATGGGGTTTACTAAATGTACATTCAACGTGTATGTATATATATATATACATATGTGCATGAGTCGCTTTATACCGCGCTTCACACATACACACACATACACATATACAGATGTGTATATATATATATATATATGTGTGTAATTGAAATGAACTCAGCACTGGTCGAACATAGTAGGCCAGCGTTGCCTTCCGTTGCATAATCGGCGTTCATGGCACAATCTATGCGAAGCTTCCCGCTTGCTGCTTTGGCTCGGGCAGCTGACGGCCCTGCTGCTGACGGCGACCAGGCCAGGGTGACTGGCTGAATTCGGGCGTGGCTTCAAGCGAGCAGCCCGGCTCCCCGCATTGGACGTGCAGAAGTGTGTTCTGGTATGCTTGCATGATTGCAATACCTTGCTGTGATTCTATTATTCAAATGTATGTGGACTCACTGTTTACTTGCATGGACAAAAAATGGATATACGGGCTTACATGAGGCAGAGAGAGACAGAGAAAGAAACACAAAACAAACAAGCTGGGCAAAGCCCTTCCGACCACCGGAACAAGCAGGTCGCTGTCTCGACCCAGCACACGCCTCCGTTTCCAAGGCGCCCAATGACGGCTCCACGTCTCCCGATCCGAGCGGCCAAGTCAACAGCAAGGACGCGGGATGACGGTGGGAGGGGAGATAGGCGACAACTGGACGTAAGGGCAGCTTCTAGATACGTCGCCCTCTCAAAAACTCAAAGGGGGCAGTAGTGTCGCAAAAATGCACCCACAAGACGCTACGCCGCACTTCCTCCCGATTCATGATCAGAGGATGGCCTTGCCTACGAGGGCCAGCATGCTTCACCTTGCTTGTCCAAAGCCGACCTTGTGACAAGTTGTCCTTTGAATGGTTTTCGGTGTTTATGCTTGCTTAGCTGCTTAGACGCGGTCCCAGAATGTCAACAAGTCACTTCTCAGCGGTTTGGGCAGTTTGATGCGGTGCCGCTTGGCAAGTGCCACAGGAGCGCCTCCCCGAGCCGAGGCTGGGGATGGTATGGATGTTTTGGGCAGTCTCGGTTGGGTCATTGCGGTTAAGGCAAGGGTGGGAGGTGAAACACATGAACAAAGGCGCCAACAATACCAACAGTACCTGCAACGAGGAGGGCAAGGGCAATCCCCACCATCGGCACCACAGGCTTTATGATCCAGAAGCCACAATGCAAGATTTGGCAGGGCGTATTGCATGACCTCGCTGCCTCGCTGGGTATCTCATCAGTCTGGCTGCCACGTGAGTGACACACCTTGCCTTGATGCTCTGCCAGACGCCACGCCGCAGCGGGCGCAGCGCACCTTGCGCCGCGCGCCTTCTCCGCTGTCCCTCGAGGCGAGGGTGGGGATGCCTCGCTGATTCGCAGCTTTGCAGAACTCAGTTGCCTACAAGCGACAATCAAGGGAAGGCCAGCAGCTGGTGGTCATGTTAGTTCCCTGCTTCACGGCAGGCGGGTTTGTCAGGCAACAACCTATCTAGAACAAATGGTGAGAGCCTGGGCACTCAAACTGGAGACTGACTCGGTCATGCTTCAGCGCAGGATGGCGGCGAGAACGCCGCGCCTAGCCCAAAGAGCAACTTGGACGGGAACCAGGTTTGCCTCTCTCCCACTTGGCGGCAAAATGTAGACAAGAGAGGCTGTAAAGGATTGGAAGTGTGTTTCCCTTTGTTTCCCGTCAGGATGTGTCGAAATCATCCCACCCGCACCCCTGACATGGATGCCCTTTCAAAATGGCCAGCTCTTAGGCCCAGCCTTGGAGCAGGTTGGGGAACAAAGCGAGGCAGTTCTTGCCCCACAAAGCCCGCAGTTTGTTCTGGGTCAAGCATTGCATTTTGTTGTCTCCCTTACTGGCTGGCACGGGTGGGGTGTGTGAGGTAGAGACGGTGAGTCAGTGAACGGGTGAGGTGAGGCAAGGTGAGGGATGAGGCGAGAGCGTGCTGGGGCGGCGGAGGCGCACACGCTGTATGTGGATGTGCGGGCGCGTGTTATTTCAACTATCAGCTACTTAGAAAAATGAAGCGGGGGAGAGAGAGAGAGAGGGAGCCGTTTGCTATGGTTTCATGGTTGGCGCGCCTCCCTGCTAATACTTCCGCAACCTCCAATACGATGAGCACCTGTTCAGAGTTGCGCAACAGTTCAACACGTGCCAGGATCCCGGACTCTTACTTGGCTTGTGCAAAACAGCAATGAGTGATCATCAGCAGCCCGCAGTTCCTCATGTCTTGCGCCGGATGTTCAGGAGGATCAGTGATTTCGCATCTTTCCAAATAGTCGCGACCCTACACAAAACGTGACTGCAACACCCCAGCTTCAGAAAATGGGCCTCCGGCTCCAGCCAAGCGCGCTCGTCCGATGCCAAGGCCCCAGCAGCCCCACCCGCGCCAAGGCAGCGGCCTTGACGCCTGAGGGCCTTGCGGCAGCTCGGTGCGATCGAGTCAGATGGGCCAGGGGCATGGCACGTGCTCGCATTTGGAGGCTTCGGTTGGCTCTAGCAGCCGAGTGGGCGCTGGCTAGGTTCTACTTTGAAGACGCCCCCATGCCGCGCTTATTGTTGCAGTCGTAGTGGGCCTGTTGGTTCTTTCCATTCACAATCCTTATGCCGCCCTAGAGGTTCCTCTTTCCGCATTTGATTAATTCCTTTCGTGGGGGATCCTTGCTGGTCCTGACACCTTACACATTGCCGTCAGCAATCTTCACCAAACTTGGAACAACACTGCTGCAGCTCTTCTTTTCAAGGGGGAAGCAAAAAGGCCACATCGCTTGCGTTTGTATTTTTTCCAGGGCAGCACAACATGAGTTCCGTATCGGTCTAAACGGGCGAGGGTACGTATTGTGGCTTGATGCTTATGATGTATGATGCAATCTCAGCGCAATGTTTTACCATGAGGGGAGGGTGTTGTGTTTCTGTGTGGCTTGAAGTCTTCGTCACGTGTGTCGTTCTTGAGGCCCCGAGTTGGATCCCGAGGTGAACAGCGCAGCAGACATGGGGGGCTTCGCTGAGCTCACGGCCCGCCCGAGGGACCGAGGGAGAGGGGGAGCTGCGCAGAAATCCATTCCAAGCAAAAGGCCCCCGGATGAATCCTTCGGTGTCTACCCATCATGCGATCACAAATCATAGCTGCGTTTCATGTGATGCACGCGGATGCATTGATCATAGGTGCTGTATGCAGGAGAATGTGTATGTCATGTGTGTTTTTAATGTTTGTGACCTTGGTCTGGTACATACCTTGAGCCTGGCAAGCAAAAAAAAGAGACAGAGCTAGCCATTGCAGGCTGCAAGTCGCATGAAATCGAGCAGCGTCACTGCTGTCAAGAAAGACTGGTGCGAGTCGAGATTATTCTCTGGCAGCATGAATGAGAGCCTCGCGCTGTCAGAGCAGCGCGGTGTCCTCGCATATGCTTTGCCAAACGTGTCAGTTCATGCGCCTCACCTCAGTAAAGCTTGAGGAGGGCTTGGCTTTCGGGAGTTCAGAGCGACGGGCCTCGCAGGCGTCGAGCATGCTCAAGTACGAGGCCTTGCATCTCAGACGCCACGCCCTGAGGCGCGGGCCCCGCGCTGGATGCGGGAAGCGAATCTTCATGGGCGGCTTGGGAGTTGGAGGGTGCCGTTGTTGGATTATCCGAGTTTTACAGGCATTCAAGTTTCAAAGGTCGGAGTTCTTTGCTTCTTGAACCATCGCCCACCCCGCAGGAACTCCAAAAGCTTTGGCAGCCAGCGTTCAGGAGCGCGGGCACTCAATCGCCTGGTGTTGCCTGAGCCTATCGCACAATCGCACAGTTAGGGAGGGGTGATCAATGCGGCCAAGAGAACAACAACACGCACTCACAGGGCCTTCGGCCGGAAGCTAATGGCTAATGGACTGCACAACAACAGTCCATGTAGGTCTGTTCATTCTTGTGTTCCCCGCGCTCGCGCCCTGTCCTCGAACAGCCCGTGACATCTAGCAACCAAGAAGGGCAAGACTCGTTGCTGAGAGTGCGATGGCCCAGAGGTGGATGGGCAACCTGTTGGTATCCAGGACGCTGGAATATGTTCAGAAGACGGCAACTCTCATACTAATTTTACTTCCCAATTGTGAAATGTTGGCAGCCCTTGTGACCAAAGAGGATCCTAGCCAAGTTGTTTGCCATATTTATGCAGCGTATCCTCAAGGGACACGTTCTTGTTGCCCCCTCAGTTCTACAAGTTGAGCATTGGACACCACATGTCAAATGGCTTGCCTGGCACCGGCTCGGTCCAGCACGGAACTTCGGTTGGTTGGCTGGATGGCGCAAGGGGCCAAATTGGGGGCTGATTGCGCTGCTTGGCTGGCGTGAGGGCTACTGAGGACTGCCGAATATTAAGATGCCGAATCCTTTCCCCGAGCGTCGATTCACTCAGGCCGGTGAGCATAGCCCGCAGCCTGGGAGCGCAGGCGCGAACGGCGGCAAACTGCCATGGGGGCCTTCCAGTGGCCTAGTTGTGGAGGCGGCGGTTCGCTGCTGGTCTCGAACCCTGTGAGGGTCTTGAGTTGTGGAACATGCGCATTCGGGA